CTTAATTTAAGATAAAAAGATTCAAAATTCTTACTACAATAAGAGTGGACGGGTACAAAAATAATTCCAACTTTCAGGTGACAATAGATAACAATTGTTTCTAATCAATTTTGTTGTAACAACGTTGTGGAATTCCGCAAGGCGAATTTCTCTTTATGAAATCAAACTAGCAACTGTCCCCCGATCCCAGACCTGTTTAGTGGATTATATGGAATGCACAAAGTTATGCACCAGTCGAACCATTTTGCCATTGAAGCGACTAATTCAAATGCCCAAGAGCGCCAAGCAAAAAGCTAGCCCAGCCAAAGTCTTCTTCGAACAATCCGACAGTTACAAGACCAAGGCAATCCTCCTTACATGTTGGAATACCTTTCATTTTTTGAAGAGGCGAGTTAAAGGGATTCGTAAATTGGCCTCACTGAAAGCTGTAGGGGAATGAATCCTTGCTGAGTTTTCGTCCGTCAGAGCAGAACATCATGTTCAAGACAGAAAAGCAAGAAAGGTGTACCTATTCGGCAACTTATGAATCCCCCTTCCTTCAAACTAAATAAAAGGTATTCCCGCCTCAAGGGAGCCCTCAAGACCCAGTTTTTCTACGATCCTCTTTCGGATTACGGCGAAGTCAATTTGCGAAACCTTTTCACTCACCTTTTCAAACGAAATGAAAGGTATGCCAGCAACAAAGTACTAAAGGATTTTTCAGAACCTAGCTTCTCTTCATACTATATATTTCCCTTATTCGAATCAACACCATACTCAATACAAGACTCATAGTACACGCTTTTAAGTTAAGAAAGTTTAAATACCATGGATACAATTATGCCTTTCATAGCCAAACGACTTCCAAACTGCTCGCACTTGCTATCTAATTCTTTTTCCACCAGGCCCATTTTGTATATATGGTTGCTAGATTAGCCCATACCTATTAAGTCTGGAGTTTCACTCTTCGGTACACATTTTTCATGCGCAGCCACATTCGCCGGGCTGAGTTAATCGTCCAGCCGAAAGTTTCACAAATATGAACAACCTTCAGCACAATAATCGGATTGTTAAGTCATTTCATAAAGCGCTTAACAAAAGTAGCTCGAGAATCGGACAACAGATTCGAAAGTAAGTTGTGAGCTGAATACGTTAGTTTACAAGTTGTTACATACGGATGGTGAGTTATAAGTCTGTATAATGACTCAAGTATGTCCTGTCGATAAGGCCTGTGCGAAAATTTAGCAGAAATTATACTAAATTCTACGTATTTTGGACTTCCAAAGCTCAAAAAGTGTTCCAGACCAGAAATATTCACTTGAATAAGACAAAAAGTTGAAAGCAATCGCCCAAAAAACGTTTATTTTGGACAACTAGATCTAGTAGGGATGATATTAGATAGGCTGAAAAGATAATTAATGGGCAAGAATGAAACGATACTTGAGCCATTCTGTTTATCATAAGAGCAGCTGCTAAATAGTTGTGAATGAGTTTCTTAAGCTAATTCAATATCGTAACAGGATAAACTGATTTAAGGACAAGAGGACAAGAAAGAAAGCAGAAACAAATAATCAATAATATTGTGGACACAGCTATTGGAAGATTTGAGATGGGGAATGTTAATTTAAATGGCATAAATAGGCAAATATGCAATGAAAATAACAACTGGGGCCTTATTTGAGTCAAAGTACCCGAAACCGAAATCCAAGATGTGCAAGCGATTCCCCCATGAATAATGGGTGATAATTTAGACAGGAGGAAAAAAACGAAGCATATGCGTTCAGTAGCGAAAAGAAATGTAAAACGAATAACTTTTGAAAAATAAAAAAAAATTAAGACTTGAATTTTTCTATTGATAACTCATACAGACATGCATGGCACAGAACCTTTTAGGGCATAAGTTAAGTTTCACATATAATGGAAAAATGTAGGGCGAGGTTTAAGGATTCGAGTTTATTTAAGGGACAAAAGAGAATCCAGAGAAGGAAATTCTATCAAGAATGTACATGGATTCGAAAACTCTTGCAATGCTTATAAGATACGCGCGATGCATACATAAAGTTGTTGAATAAACCAACTCGCAATTAGCCAATAAACATGCACAAACATTTGGAATCGGGCAGAAATTTCTCCGAGGCATCAAATGTAGAGAGAAAAGCTTTCTAGCAAGAGGAATAAAAATAATAGGAAGGCCAAATTCTTAGTTCATGCGGAAAATATGAGGCAAATGCGAATGGAGTATAGAAGAGGCATTTAAGATTACAGCGAGCGAATCAGTGACGCTGCAAAGTGGCTGAGACACGGGCAATGAGGGTAGACATTCGGAAAAATGTAATGATAAATGACATACCACTACTATAAGATTCATATAAAGGCTCATTAGAAGCTAAATGCATGAAAGTAGTTCAACTGAAAGCTACACAGAATATGATTCTAAAATACCTAATCAACAGAGTAACTTTATAGACTATCAGCGAGAAAAAACTGATGCGGTGATTAGGTGGTTCCTATAGCTCTGGACTTAGGAAAGAAGCTAACTCAATCAATGAATAATAGGCTGACATGAATTGGGTAAATAAATCGTGATAGCCTAAGCAGGGAGTAAAATAACTTGTTATAGAATAAAGCCCAACCCGAAGCACGTAGAAAGAATTAGAATTGAAAGAAACATCATACTTAACAAAACCAAGTGAAAAAGACAAATAAGACAAAAGAAAAACAAATAGACTGAAATGATGGGGAGTACCTCCACACACCATGGCGATCTAAGTTCCCCTCATATTCATCCAGAGGCTAACTTACCCTGACCACTTGCGCCCTCAACCGAATCAATTTTGCCATGTTCTGCAAGTATGGAACTCATCTCTGAGGCTCTGGAAGAAGGTGAAATATGAGTGGTAGGCGATCTAGGCTGCTTCGTTTGAGGCGATGATTGAGGTAGTCTTACGGACGTTTGCGGAGATCGAGATCCCGGGGAAGTTAAGGAGCGCTGTAGTGGAGGGGCCGGAGGCAGAGTGAAACTGGAATTAGGCGAAGCTGGTGGACTGAAACTTTGCCGTTGAGAGTAGATGGGAGTCTCGGGAAGGCCTGGCGAAATAGTTGACTGATAACGGGGTGTGGAAAGAGTGCCTACTGGGCTACTGCCAAACGAGGGAGAAGCTTAGGAACGGGCAAATGTCCAGAACATATCAAACGTAAACAGTATTATGGAAAGTTTCCGACGGAAGAAGGTATAGATAAAGTATTCCCAAAATGGGCGAATTTTATAGACATACAAAACACAAATGGGACATCGAATGAAGATGAAAAAACGTGAAGAGCAAGCCAAGACAGGTACATGAAGGTTAAACAAAAATGAATTGATAGAGAGGAAGTGGGCAAGGGTTTCAATGAATCAATGTAGGGAAACAGAGATTAGCACAGATGTTCATGCAAAATAAAATTATAATAAAACACTACACGGCAAATTAACGCACGATCAAAGTCCCAACAGTGGGACAAGCAAAATAAAGGAATATACATGCAATGCAAATCTTCTAAAAAGATAATAAAGCCAAAAATTTAATAACTTACCATGACCACTAGTTTCAGCTCCGGATGTTTTGGAAAGCCATTGATTTCTTTGAACTGCTTTAGCTCGATGCTCCTTAACAGTTTCTGCAATTCTGCAATTAATTAAAATAGGCTTAGAAAAATATATGCTAGATAGCAAAATGATACATAAAATGACAGTTCATTACTTTTTCTGAAAGCATAGTTTGTTGACAAAGAATATAGTCCGAGATTGTATATTTAATTTAATTTAAGGCTATGCAGCAACCAAGAAGAATAACACAAAAAGAAAGCGATTGGTTAACTAACGAGA